GCAGCGAGGCTAACTGCACGCAGCGAGGCTAACTGCACGCAGCGAGGCTAACTGCACGCAGTGAGGCTAACTGCACGCAGCGAGGCTAATTGCATGCAGCGAGGCTAACTGCATGCAGTGAGGCTAACTGCACGCAGCGAGGCTAACTGCACGCAGCGAGGCTAACTGCACGCAGTGAGGCTAACTGCACGCAGCAAGGCTAACTGCATGCAGCGAGGCTAAGGCTTTATCCTGCTTTTCCTGCCTCCTTTCTCAAATATCAGCATCTGATCCAGCATAGATAAAGACAGCTAGAATTGATTTAAAGCACTTTGTAGAAAAGGCAAAGAAGAATGAACAATCTGGGATTCACATGGAAAATAATAGAATCTAGTCTACTTTTTGTAGATGGTTGTTCATTTGCATATTTGCTCTTAAATAAACACATTCTCAGACAATTAATAGTTTTTATACATTAAAAAATTTTAAGGTTGCTTGTTGGTTTTTCCTTTTTTATCTTGTTTTTTTTTTTTTTAGGTTTGTGACTCAACATTGGACCATGGAAAACACAGATTTACCTTCACAGCCTCAGAAGGGAAAGATTTATGGACAGAAAGTAAACCTGGACATTAAACTATGTTTTGTTTTTATTATGTTTTCTGTTGTAGGTATTCATATAAATATACTGGTGTGATAACTTAGTATATGATTGATTGGTTTATGGTATACATCTATAGTTATAGCGCCCCCTGGAGAAAATCAGTTCAGTTTCTAACAGCCCAGCTGTCATACATGCTCACAGTTTAAGGCACACCTGATCATGGTGTGATTGCTGCCTTATTTTTGCTCAGTTTAATTACATGATGAAGCAAAAATGTAACCAGAGTCAGCAGGTTCTCAGATATGGCGGCTGCAGCACCGAGATGAGAGGAGATAAAGCAGATCTGACAGCTGGTGGATATTTGTGCTGCATTTAAAGCATCCAGAGATTTATTTTAATGAACAATAAATAAACAGCATCTAGGGAGCTACTGAAGTGGAATATTT